TCTTTTTGAATAGAGTATTAATTATATTAGTCTCCTGTTAAGAAATTCCCTTTGTGAGTTAAACCTTCTTTTATTCATCCCACTCGTTTTCAGTAATGTTGGAACACTAATTACAAAAATCTGAAACAAAAAACAAGACTAAGTAGCACTTTAAAGACTAACAAGATGATTTATTAGGTGATGAGCTTTCGTGGGCCAGACCCACTTCCTCAGATCAAATAGTGGAAGAAAATTGTCACAACCATATATACCAAAGGATACAATAAAAAAAAATGAACACCTATGAAAAGGAAAATCAAATTTCATAACAGAATTGTCTTGGTAATGGGTGAGAAAGTTCAAAGACTTGTTAAGTCCTTGTTGGTAAGTGTCGAATTTTAACATGAATGACAGTTCAGAGGATTCCCTTTCAAGTGCAGATGTAAAAGGTCTTTGTAGCAGAATGCAGGTGGCTAAGTCATTTAGAGAGTGTCCTTTCTGGTTAAAGTGGCAAGAAACTGTTTTCTCTTTGTGATCTTGTCTGATATCTGTTTTGTGGGCATTAATCCTTTGGCGAAGTGTCTGAGATGTTTGTCCAATGTACATAGCAGACGGACACTTTCGGCACACGATAGCATAGATTATATTTCTGGATGCGCAGGGATATGTGTTCTTGATCTTATAACTCACTTGGTTGGGTCCAATAATGGTATCAGCAGAATGAATATGTGGACAAAGCTGGCAACGGGGTTTGTTGCAAGGGAAGGTACCAGGGTTGGTATTAGTGTGGTATGTCCTGTGGTGGTTGGTAAGAATGATCTTGAGGTTAGGTGGTTGTCTATAGGAGACTATGGGTCTGTCTCCCAGAGGCTCTTTGAGTATGGTATCCTGTTCCAATATAGGCTGTAGTTTATTGATAATGTGTTGGACAGGTTTAAGTTGGGGGTTGTAGGTGATGACAAGTGGTGTTCTATTGTTGGTTTTCTTGGGTCTGTCTTGAAGTAGATGGTTTCTAGGTATTCGTCTGGCTCTTTCAATTTGCTTTTTTATTTCTCCAGGTGGGTAGTTGAGGTTTATAAATGCTTGGTAGAGATCCTGAAGTTTTTGGTCTCTGTCAGTGGGATTACAGCAGATGCGGTTGTATCGAAGGGCTTGGCAATAGGGATCGTATGGTGTGTTCTGTTTCTATCACTATTCTACAAAAATCTGGTGATTTATAATAGGTATTCTATTCTGATTTTCAATAATCTCTCCCTGGTATTATACATAGATTTAAATCTATTAAATAAAGCCATCATTCTCTTTCTAGCCTCCACACAAGAATAACTAGCCTTCGGAAAAGAGGAATAATTGCAACTTTCTAAAGATATGACTCTGCAGATACTCTGCCTCATCTTCCTGGTTGCTGTAACTGTTTATAATCCTTACAGTGTTCAGCGATCAAACCAACGTATCATGATTTGCTGATATCAGCTTATTCAAAGATATTAATCCCAGGAAATCTTCCATTCTTAAGTTGGTGCTCCTGCATTTGGACATGAGGGAAATTTTATGGTGTTTAGAAGTTGTGAATTGTTAGTGAAACGTTACAAAGTATTTGGAATCCTGACTTCCCCAGTTTTCCATATGTTCTAGGCATACATGCCAAGCTTCCAGTGTGTGTGAGGATGCTCCCTTTCACTCCGCAGATCCCTCCCAACTCTACCCAGTCCCCAAAGTGCCACCCCCATCCTGCCTCTTCCTGTGTTCTCCCCTGAGTGTTCATGCTCTCCCTCTGCCTCCCTGCCTACTCCAGCAGTGCCTCCAGCATGCCAAGGAATAGCTGATTGCAGCAGGTGGGTGGTGCTCAGGGATCAGGGAAGGTGCTGATCAGCCAGGCTGCCACCAGAGGAGGTACATGGCAGAGGGGGAGGTGCTGACAAGGGAACTACCAATGGGAGCTAAGTGCACACCATTTTTCCATGGTTGTTCCAGCCCTAAAGCACTCATGGAATCAGCACCTATGGCTCTAAGCTCATTGCAGTATCATTTACATGCAGTACTTCAAAACTTTCTCTTAAAAAAAACTTTCTCTTGTTTCCATTTTGCTCCATTGTTGTCCTATGCTATTTGTATTGATAGGTATAAGAGTTTTCAACTTGCACAGCTCATAGGTAATTACCTCTATTGTGTTTAGAATTGAATGTGTTTAGGTTTTTTTTTTTTTTTAGCACAGTTACATCTTCCAGAATGGAGAAGCTGCCCATTAACATCAACACCTTTACTGATTATAGTTGACTACATTTCTGACAGAAAAGCATGACTTCTGAGTTCTGTGCCTCCAGGAGCACATTGATACACAAAATAGTTCCCTGTGCTTTGACATCTTCAAAATTCCCAGACTGAATGCATTGATTAGTACAGTCAACCTCTGGAACTCCTAGCCAGAGGATGTGGTGAAGGTTAGGACTTTAACAGGGTTCAAAAAAGAGCTAGATTTATTCATGAATGTTTGGTCTATCAATGGCAATTAGCCAGGATGGGTAGGAATGGGGTCCCTAGTCTCTGTTTGTCTGGAAATGGGTGACAGGAAAGGGTTCACATGATTATTACCTGTTGTGTTCCCTCCATCTGGGACATCTGGTCTTGTCCACTGTTGGCAGACAGGATACTGGGCAAGATGGACTATTGGTCTGACCCAGGATAGCTGTTCTTATGTTCATCTGATTACACTGAACTTTTTGATGCCATTGGTGTTTCAAGATGCCAGCCTAGTGAAACTGAACACTGCTATTTAGGGTTGCCAGCTGTCTAATCACAAAAACCCAAGCACCTTTGCTCCACCCACTACTTCCTCTAGGTCTCACTCCTTCTCTGATTCTCCTCCCCACTTCCTCCATCACTTTCTCTCCCCAACCTTACTCACTGTCACTGGCCTGGGGCAGGATGTTCAGGTGAGGGAGAGGGTGTGGGTTCTGGGCTGGGGGCATAGGGTTCAAGTGTTGGAGGCAGGGCTTTCAGACTGAACCTGTGGCAGGCAGGTTGGGTTGCAGGAGGGGATGCAGAAGAAACATTTTGGTACCAACACACACCCCACAGGTAACAGGAACATACCAACCCAGGTTCAGGACAGGGTCTATCCTGAAAGCATGATAGATAGTGATCAAACCTCAGTGTACAAGGTAATGGGGTGGGTCTAGGTACGTTAGAGGGTGTTAACCTGATGCATCAGAAGTGATGTGTAATTTGTTTGTGCCTGTGTATAAAAGTATACTGCAAAGAGTTGACTTTGTCCAGTTGAGGGGGCAGTGTCTCATTCCAGGTACTGACTGACTCATTCCTGTCCATTGGCAAGAGTTAAAAATGTGCAGTGGTTCAGTAGAGACTGCTGACAACTATTATTGTATTTTGACAATAAACTGGCCTGCTGCTTTCAATCCTTATCTGATTTTGTGGTCTTTGGGGGCTCTCATGGAGTCTTCAGTGGTGTCTATTTGTGCAAGCCAACGTGAGATACAGAGTAGCATATGCCTGCAGCCTAATGGTTATCACTAAAGGAGCAGGGGACTTGTCTTGACATCCCACCGGTGACACCTGGCTACTACAGCCTGTAAATTACCTACTGCAATGGAGACCTGGTATATAACTGAATCTCCTGGGTGCTGTGATTAAAAAAAAATAAAGGGGGTTCTACAAAAAAAGTGCCATATCAAAGATTTTATAATTCCAAACCAGCTGCAATTAAGAGCATATTCTGTACTTACTCCTTAGCTATGAAGTTAATTAGGGACTGCTACATTGTTATGGAGTAACACTATGCTTCTAATCTGATAAACAGTTCCCTTTCAGTAACTCTATTCCTGGGAGTTCATATTCCATGAATTGAAGACCATTTCTTGCTACTGGTGTCTTCACTTTGCAGAGTGACTGAACTGCAGGCCTCTGTGACATTTACCTTACCTTTCTCAGGAATAAGCTGGTGGTGTCAGTTACAGTTTAATCCTGTTATGGAAATCCCTTCTTTGCAGGCTTGATGTCAAAAAGGTTCCTATGTGTTTATCCAGGTCAGACTAAAGCTTTTACAATGTCTGTCTAGGTTTTTGTTTCATTTTATGTTAACTTAATAGATTCCACTGTTTCCAAGAGTATCGTGCCTTAAATAGCTGCTTTACTGTTCCCATTATAACGGTCTGATGGGCCAGCAATTCAAAGAACATGTCAGACTCCATTCTGGGCAAAACAAAGCCTGGATCCTGCAAATATTTAAGGATATAAAAGACTTGCATTTATGAGATAACTCACAATGCTTAAAGTTGAGCATGAGTGTTTGTAGGAACAGGGTCTGTCTTCTATCGCAGCAAGCTTCTGAATTATTAAAGATATGTGAAGGCATTTACATGGATTTTTTTTCCTGCAAATGTTCATTAAACTCTAGAACTTTGATTTGTCCCAACCCTTTATCTTTTTTACAATATCTCTTAATTTCACATTTTTCCTTTTTTTTCCAGCATGGTATCTCATTCACTATATCTGCTAATTTCAAATGTTTAATAGTTTCAATAAGCATGTTACTTCTCCTGACTTTTCTTTTTTTTAAAAACACATCTTTATAAGAACACCGTTCCAAACATGTTCACTTTATTTAAAAATTAAGAATATTTGTTAACACCAGTTACCTCATTACTTTATTCTTTTATTTATTTTAATTATTTGTTTATTACTGAACTCAGATTTGGAAACCTGCACAGACTTGAGGTTGTCATTCTGATGCATTTTTACTCTTTATCAACATGGGAGCATAGTGACCAAGTTAATCTTGTTCTATTGAAGTGAGGTGCAGGTGCCCACAAAAGGTTTTCCTGCAGTGGAGTATGATGTACTTCTGCCAGAACCATAACTCTGAGCTTGGGTAAGGTGATGTGTTGAAATGTTTAATGTAGAAATCAATGATTACAGGAAAATAGTTATCGGTCATGTATTTTTTTTACCTGTGTTTCGTGCAAAGTGCTTTAATAATTTGTTCCCTGTTTTTTTTTTCTTAGGAGAAAGAAGCAATGATGACACCTATCCCATTTGCAAGGCCACAGGATTTAGGTCCATCTATTGCTATTGTAACTAAAGTAAACCAGATTCAGGATCACCTGCTGAAGAAGCATGATATTGAGCTGTACCTACATCTGAACAGGCTAGAAATTGCTCCGCAGATTTATGGACTGTAAGTGTTTACAATGCCTTGTTTATTGCTTGCAATTTGTTTTTCTTAAACTAGAAACTATTTGCCCCTCTTGTTTAAAAACAGTACTGTAGTGTCATCAGGAATAAGGGAAATATGGTTAAGAAAAAGCACTCCTTACCTTTGTGCACCATGTGCTTGTTCTGCTAATCACACTTCATAACTAACAAAAATTCTTTATTGTATGTATGGAAGTATTCTGAAATAGTTTTGTACAGTAGCTTTCTGGAGTGCTTACTTAAAATACTTTTAGTTAGCATTGCTGGAAAAAGACTGTTCTAATGCTGGCCAGCTTTCATTTTCAAAAGTGTAGTAGTTCAGTTCCACTTGTTGCATACACACAGGACAGTTGGGAACCCATGTATACAGTTGCCATAAGAGAATACGTTGCTGTTGTACTTCTGGTTCAAAAATTTTATAAGTAACACTGACTAACAGTATTACCTTAAGTTAGGCTCTGTAATGTTGTTTCATTGGGTATGAATTTTGCAGATTTATCAAGGTTATTAGAATATCTGTGTTTTATGTAAATGTACGGGTTTTATTATGATCTTTAAATATGAAGTCTAACTTGAATCTGTAGTAACATGGGAGAAATATTAAGAGACATAATTATTTAAAATCTAGAGGATAATGGAACTAAGAACAATAAGTAGGCTAGGTTTATAAAGAGAAATTTCTGTCCTATCCAATTGCTTTTTTAAAAAATTGCCTTCATCTACTAATTTTATAACATGGGTGTGTGTGTGTGTGTGTGTGTGTGTGTGTGTAGGTGTAGACTTTGGTAAAGTGTTTGATACAACAAGGGAAGATGAATGACAAAGTGTTAAAATTGGGGACAGGGCAAATTATCTAGTCAGGATACTGTACAGGTCTCATTTTATTAATAATTTCACTAATGATCTGAAAAAAGTAAACTAATTAGAAAGTGGTATAAGAACCAGCGAAGACAGAAAAATAATGCTCACATACCTTGAGAGTTTAGAAATATAGCTAAAAAGGAACCAGGGCACTGGCTCTTCTCCTGAGCTGTTGGTCAGGGCCATGGCCACGCCAGTCCCGGCTGTCACCTCCCCCCCCCCTTCACCCCTCCACCCAGCCGCTGAGGAGGGCCAAGGCTGCACCAGCCCCAGCTCTCTCACTCTGGCCAGTGGGAGGCCAGGTCGAGGCCTTGCCAAGCCCCACACTCTCCCCCCAGCCTGTGGGGGGGGAGGGGAGTAAGGGAGGCCGAGGCCTCACCAGGCCCCGTGCTCTCCCCCTGGCCACTGGGGGGCCAAGGCCATGGTGTGGCAGCCCAGGCTCCCTCCTGAGCATCGGGGAAGAGGGAAACCGGGCTGTGGCAGCCCCAGCTCCCAAGCATTGGTGAAAGGAGGGGGTTGGAGGGAGGAGGCAAGCAGGACACAGAGTGACATAATGATGTCATCCCGCAGGAAACTTTTTTTTTTTTTTTTTAATATATATAGTGAGAGAGAAATAAATGACCTGAAAGAATACCAACGGATGTGGTGGGGCAAAATTAATCCATAACAAAGACGTTCACTGGGAAAGCAAAACCTGAAACTCACTAATGGTGAGGAAATTATCACAGAAGGCAGTGTAAACATGAGTTTGTGGTGTGATATGGAAACAATAAAGGAGCAATGTGATGCACACAGAGGTACCAAGAGTGGAGATTCTATATATTTTTTTTAAAAAATAACGCTCCAGAGATGCTGTCAAGAAAAATTTCCTGACAAGGAGGTGTTAAGCTGTAAAATTATCAATAGACACAGTGAAAGCCCCATCAATTAGGACACTTTTAAAGTAGTCTGGGCAAAGCTTGAAAAATGTATTATAGAGAACAATCCAGCACTGGCAGGGGAGAGGACTAGATCTTCTAGCAGGTCATTTCTATCTCTAATTTCTGATTCACTGTGAAGTACTAGAAAAAAGTAAAGAAAAATAATGTGAGCATATTGTTGTTATTCTTGCCTCCAGTGCTGTCAGGCACTTTTCTGAATAATGATTTCCAATTGTGAACAAGTTGACTCCCTCAAATGCCAAATCTTGTGTTGTGGTTAATGGGGTTTTTGAGCTTAAAAAAGACATTTCTAGTCATTTTAACTATTAGTAGTAATTACTTTACATTTCCAGCTGGAGTAAGGTAACTACATCAAGTGCTCGTGAGAACACTTTGGTTAAATTAGTTGCAAAAAAGTGTTTACTAACAAAGAGGTTTGGATTTGGTTTAGTATGTAGCCATATACAAATCACTGTCTCACTATGCACAGTCTTGGGAATGTTTTACTAAAAGGGTGCAGGTGCAAGAAGAGATGGGATAAATAGCAGAACGAAAGGTTTTGTAAAAAGTAATAATTTGGCAACTAATAGCCAGTTAGACTGAGTTCAGGTAATCTATAGGTTCATTTGCAAATACGTCTTAAATTTTCCATGCATTCAGTTTTAGCAGTAGGCAATCATTCATCTACTTGTAATGAAAGGGAAACTTGCTCTGGACATGTCTAGTCATCAGATCAAGATTTTGTGTAAGCTTTAATACTAACTTTCAAAAGTTTTTTGCTCATGTAGCTATTATTCAGAATTTGCCCTTTGGAATATGACTTGTTTACCTCCTTTAAAAAAACAGTTTTCTTGTTTACATGAGCACTAAGTCAGTACAGTATTTGTGGTATGACTAATTATTTTTGTTCAGATCAGGTCTGTGAATGTTCTGCTTGATGATTTCTTTATTTAATGATTATTTAATTCAAGACAGCAGTCAGCAATATCAAATTCTGTCCATTTCATGTGGCTTGCTGGAATGAGAGATCAGGGATATTTATCTTGCATTACAAACGCAAGTTTTTATAAGTACCTTTAGTACAGATTGTATCATAGGGATACAATTAATTTATACAAAGAAAGGTTTGTTACTCAGTTGTGTGCACTTGTCTCATTCAGATTGAAGAGGTAAAAAGGAGAAGGATGAAAATATTTGCAATTCCCAGTATTCATTCAGCCAGAATGGTGATACTTCCTTTGAGTGTATTCAATATAGAGAATTCGGCCATTAGAGAAAAGGCACAAATAACTGATAACTATGCTTGATTTACACACACATTAAATTCCTCTTGTACTGTAGATTGTTCACTTGTACTTATACAAATAACTTCTCTTCCTTTCATTAATTAAATCCTCTGTAAATGTTTTTTGTTCAATCATACCTTGTGTGCTGAACTGTACACTAATGAACATTACTGACAAAAATCTGCTGTCTACCGCAATAATTTCAGTGCTCGTGAAAAAGTTCTTCAGCCCAGAAGACTGAAATTTTTTTGTGTCCACAACATTGGGACACAACATTTTGTGTCCTGCCATTGCACCTCAATGCTGACCACAAAAGGAACACTATTAGATGGAATAAACTAATTTGCTTTTCATATCGATTTGGTGTTTTACCTCTTGGATGCACAAAACAGGTGCCGTAGATGGTTTTAATGTGGACACATGCCTGCTATGTAAAACATGACCAACAATTGATTTCATGTGTAGCAAGCCACTGAGCATCCTTCAGATAATTTTTCACCCATTACCAACATGGGCTGGACTTGAATGAGCAAAACAAAAGTGAAAGGCTTTGTAACTCCTTACAAACCCTGTGAGTTATTTCCTGTGTTTCTGGGCATTTTGATGCTTTAAAAAGTGTGTCAAGGTAAGGCTGCTTAATGTTCACAGTGACTCTACATGTTAAGTAAACAATACAAAATAAACAAATCTGTCTCAGTTATGTCTCATATGACTTTTCTGTAATTTGGAAGTAAAATGTACAAAATACATTTAAATGAAACTGTAAATTGATTACATTGGCAGTTCAATGACAGGTTTCCAGACTATAAATATCCCCTAATTTTTTTTTAAATTGTTAAATCTGAATAAAAGGATTAGATACTTTGAGAGGTTGACAGATTGACTATTCAGTTTAATTGTAGAATTAGATGGGTTAACGATGATTAATGCCCTAGATTAAATGGTATTTAAATGTTAATTTCTCTGACCCTTACATCTAATTCATGTTAAAGTGCAAAATAATTATTGCAAAGCCATTCTGTTGCTTCTCATACAGGCAATATTTCCAGTGTCAACTTAAAGCCAGGCTGTATTCTCAACTTGAGAAAGATCAGTGTTTAAAAAGACAAGGTTTTAGGGCATTTTCTTCCATTTAAAGTAATTTGTACTAGAAAATTATTTTACGTTTCATGTACAAGACGATGAATAAGTTAAAAAGAGACTTCCACATAATATTTTTACAATTCGTTCATTTTATATAATAAGGGTTTGAGTGAAATATATACATGGCAGTATTGAACTGAGTGCAAGTGTCAAGAAGCTGCATGCAATAACCAGAACCAGGTGATATTAATGTATATCATACAGATGATACACATGCACAGTGCCACATATCCGAAATGTAAAAGCTTTCTTAAAGAAAAAAATTAAAACCATTGGCTTGAGTTTGGAAGCTTCTTCAGCAAAACACTGAAGGCAGACTATACCAATGTTATATTGGTTAAACAAATTGTGCAAAAGCACATCTCTATCCTTACAAATATAAAGCACATCAAGTTGTGTGTAAATATTTCATGACAGTTTGTTCTAAGCACAGAAAAAGCTCTCTTCAGAACAGTATGTGCCAATATCTTTGCCCCCCCCATGGTTTCACTTTATGAAGATCAGTCAGATAGCTAGCATAGCTTGTTGTCTGCACTGCAGTGTGAGGTTCAGATTCAAGCACTGTAGGGTGATATTAGAATTATATGTCAGTAAAAAAGCTATTAGCCTCATAATAGCAAAAAAATATATTGATGGACCATAATAGTTGCAAGTTTATAGGGCAACTTTTCACACCAGTCTTTAGCATAGATCAGGAGGTAGTATTAGAAAGGTTGTGTTACAGAAAAGCCAATTGCAGCTGTGCTGCTCTACTACTATTTTTATTAGCTGCT